CGCCTCCGCGGCCCGGTCTGTGACCAGGCCTCCTTAGGTCAGTGTCCCAGGATGCGACCCACACCAGTCGACTAACACCCAGGTACCCATTTTACTGATGGGGAACATAGACAACGGGTGGAAAGAAACACGTCCAATGTTTTTACTCTGGCTGGGAATCGAACCCAGGCCCTCACCGTGTGAAGCGAGAGCGTTAACCACCAGGTGTAATTTGTAAATTTTATTCACACAAAAAATATAAGATTTACTGTTATTCCTTATTGCAATAATTGTATAAATAATGTCAACCCATTCACGACTGCATATTGGAATGGACAGTGACGTCATTTGTATCAAATGAGACCAAACAAATGAGAATACAACCATAAAAACCATTTGAAGTTATCGCTAAGGAGTGGCTAATTGCTGAGAAGTGAACTCCATTATTTATGCTTAGATTTCTTTCATTTTTGGTGTACGTTAAGAAGCATCTTTCCATCATACATTTCCCAAGTTTCAATAAGATAGTCCAACAAACAAATGAGATACAATTCCCGAGATCAAGAGCAAGAGCCCCTCACCAGTGTCAAGGAACCTGCCTTAAGGTCTGCTCGCTTGTGGAAATTTTGCTCACGTATGGAAGCAAAAAATCAACCCATCGACTGCTCGTATTTGGAAAAACTCGCATGTGGACACGCTCGCAAGTAGAGGTTCCACTGTATAATAATAATGTACTGCATAAAATAATTATAATAGACGGCTTCAAAAGGCTGTCACTAGATGGCAGTGTTTACCACAACATAGCAGGAGGGGTTGTGGCTGCCTCCACCTGTTACATAATGACATATTTTATTCATTCTAGAGTATATGTCATGTTTCTGTTTATTTATATTGTTTGTTATGTCATATTAGATGAACTGTGATAGATAAATAAGCCGTATAGATGATATTAGCGAAATTATTCATGAAGTATTTTGCCTGGTCTCCAGACAAACTCTCGTCCACCGCCGACACCGCCCTTACCACTACATGAATGACATATTTTATTCATTTTAGAGGATATATCAGGTTTCTATGTTATTTATATTGTTTATTATGTCATATTAGATGAAGTGAGATAGATAAATAAGCCGTGGAGTTGATATTAGCAAAATTATTGAAGTGTAGAATTCCACTGGAACGGATTAGTTGCATTTCAATTAATTTAAATGAGGAAAATTGACTGCAAACGAGCAAATCCAGTTGCGAGCAAGGTCATGGAACGGATTAAACTCGCAAGTAGAGGTTCCACTGTACCTTCAAAAGCATTGTCAGAAACATATGAACTTGATGTAATTATAAATATATATTGATTATAAACATCTACCATATCATATGTTTCCCTTACTGCTAACTTATTCAGTTGTGACCACCTCTTTGTAATCTGAGCAACTTTCTGTGCAGAATTTATACTTAATAAATGGGCTTATAATATAAATTTAGTAGCATTTACACATTTCGGTGTTTAACCCTTTCAAGGTTGGTGCTGTATTAGTATGGCTTGCACACCAGGGTTGGTGCCATACTAGTACACAATTTCTAGCCCCTTCAAATCTAGTGATAGAAAGCTGGTAGGCCTACATATGAACGAATGGGTCTATGTGGTCAGTGTGCGCAGTATAAAAAAAAATCCTGCAGCACACAGTGCAAAATGAGAAAAAAAAACTCCGACTGTTTTTTTATTTAAAACGGCGACTTTGCAGTGTATTTTCGTATGCTATTTATGGTTGTATTCTAGTTTTCCTGGTCTCATTTTATAGAATGGAAGACATATTATGGAAATTCAGATGATTTTGATTAGTTTCACAATGAAAAGTACCTTGAAATTGAGCTCAAAGTAGCAGAAATGTTCGATTTTTGCCAAAGTTCATCATTCCATGCATCCAATACACGTCAACTGGCGAGTCTTATATTCTTTCACAAGTGCACTGATATTATTTATATCATTTCTATACCATTTCTACACGAATGGAGTAGTCTGCATAACATAAATCTTCTATTTTTTGTAAGAATAAAAATTCAAAGTGGAAAGCAGAATAAATGTAAGAGAGGCCTGGGGACGTGATTAATGAACAGAGGAAATGTTATTTTAGTGCCAGGAATGTCTGTCTTGTTTATTCTGGACCCTCTTTGGAAATTGGCATCTTTTGAAATTTGTGTGAAATTGGCAAAATTGCCAATTTCTGACCACGTCATTGGATAGTTGAAATCGGTAAATGGGTGGTTTCTTGTACTCATTCGATAGAAAGAATGGAGTTCTAGCGAAATAGGTATGATTTTTGTCGACTCGTACATTGGAATTTGCCGAAAATAGGTCTCAAAGTGGGGCGAAATCGCCGATGCGTAAACATCGTTGAGACCGCTAACTTTGCGAGAGCATAATTCCATAAGTTTTCCATCAAATTTCATACTTTTGGTGTCATTATGATCAGGAAAAGATTCTCTATCATAATTTTTTTTTTTTTTTTTTTTTTTTCTTTTTTTTCCAACCCTGAGAACAAGTTTAGGAGAGGGCCTGCCGACCCTGAAAGGGTTAAAACATTCAAATCTACCCATTCCTCTCCCCATCTTTTATTAGCCAAGGTTTGGGTATGTGTCAACTTATAGGTTTAACCTTGTATTGTCTAAAATGTACAGTATTTTACTGTTTTACCTTTAATTCTGTCCAGGAATGTCTCCATTGATTTCTTGGCCCTGGCTTTAAAGCTTCTTGTATTTCTCTGAATTTGATAATTTTTATACCTACCTCATTTTCTGCTTTGTTTTTGGTAATTATTCATAAGTCATCTATTTATAAATTTTTGTCAGTGCCCTGTGATTTTTTTTTTTAACACATTGGCCTTTTCTCACTAAGGCAGGGTAGCCCAAAAAAGAAGAAACACTTTCTTCATCACACACTCCATTATTGTTTTGCCAGAGGTATGCTGACATTACAATTAAAAAACTGCAACATATCTCCACCCCTTCAGAGCACAGGCACTGTACTCCCCACTTCCAGGACTTGAGTCTGGCTAACCCAGTGGTGGGCAAACTATGGCCTGCGGGCCATATGCAGCCTGCCAAAAGTTGTCATATGGCCCACCAAGATCATTTGAAGTTTCTACTTTAAAAAATTAATTGTTTTTTTTTCTTTTAAAAACCTCTTATTTTGGCTATTTTAAATATTAATTATTTTACTTAATATACTATGCAGCCCTTTAAAATTGTGAATTTCTGAATGTGGCCCCTGCACAGAAAAGTTTGCCCACCCATGGGCTAACTGGTTTCCCTGAATCCCATTATAAATTAGTTTCCTCACTCCAGCAGCACATCATCATAAAAACAATTTGCCTTCACTCTATCTAACATGCTCATGCATGTTTGTGGAAGTCTGAGCCCTTCGCACACCAAACCTTGTTTACCCCCTTCCTCCAACCTTTCCTAGGACAGCTTCTAACCTACCTGCCTTATACTACACATTTATATGCCCTCCAAGTCATTCTGTTTAGTTCCATCCTCTCTAAATGTCCAAACCATCTCAACATCCCCTCCTTAGCCCTTTGGATAACATTTTTAGGAACCCCACACTTCCTCCTAACCTCCAAGCTGTGGATTCTTTGTATAATATTCACACCACACATTGCCCTCAGACACAACGTCTCCACTGCCTCCAGCCTCCTTGTTAAAACATTTATCACCCATGCTTCACACCCATATAAGAACATTGATACCACTATACTCTCATACATTCTCTTCTTTGCTTCTATGCATAATGTCCTTTGTCTCCACAGACTCCTCAGTGCACCACTTGCCTCTTTTTTTTTTCCCCCCCTCGTCAATTCTGTGATTCATCTCGTCTTTCATAGACCCATCTGCTGACAAGTCCACTCCCAAATATCTGAATACATTCACTTCCTCCATACTCCCTCCCTCCAATCTGATATTCAGTCTTTCATTACCTAAATTTTTTTTGTTATCCTCATCACCTTGCTCTTCCCCGTGTTCACTTTTAATTTCCTTCTTTTACATCTCCCAAATTTGTCCACCAACTTCCGTAATTTCTCTTTAGAATTTCCTAAAAGCACAGTACAGCCACCACCACTGCCGTCCCCCCCCCCCAGTTCCCAACGAGGCAGGGCGAAACAAAAAGAAAAAAAACGAAAAAGAAAAAAAAACTTTCATCATCATTCAACACTTCCACCATCACTCATACATAATCACTGTCTTTGCAGAAGCACAGTGTTATCAACATATATAGCATTTCTCATGTACATAATGGCTAGGCAGATTTGCAAGATTACAAAAGATACTATAGACTTTAGGCTCACCATTACATATGACTAGTACACCTACCATCTGACTTACGACCGAGTTCGGTTCCGAGAAACCGGTCGTAAGTCGAAATGGTCGTAAGTTGAACTTTACTACTGAATGTCAACATAACGTTTTTGTAATGACTTTATTTTATTGTTTTATTTTGGTATTTCATGTTTTACTTTACTTTTTATGCTGTTAGTACTGTATTTTATACTGTAAGGTTTAGGATAAACACTGTGTACAACACAAACACTTGTTTATTTCCCAGAAATTTGGCATAAAAAACACTATCATAAGTCGAGTCGTCGTAAGTCGAGCAGGTCGTAAGTCAGATGGTAGGTGTAATCATAAACCATTACATATGACTAGTAACCATAAAGAATGAAGGCTAGATAATGTTTATGCATATGACTGTAACTGTGTGTAATATACTTTTGCAGCTGAGAACATGCTGTCATTGCACGTTTTAAAATTTTGAGTCTTGCTTCGTATCGCTTATTTCAGTAATTTATGTGGTGTACAGTATATAATTAGGCAGAGTTGGATTAAATGTTTCCTTTCTCAAAAAAATTTCATATTTCTACTTACACGAGTGTTTTCCTTTCTCATGCTCTAATGATTCATGCTTACATTAGACGTATAGTATTTTGGAATTAGTTTTATAAAAGATATGCTGTTTTTCACAGGTACGGTCGGTGAGATTGGTACATGACAATGATTCGGGCAAATTTAAGGGGTTTTGCTATGTTGAATTCGAAGATGCTCAAAGCTTAGAAGATTCACTGACATATGATGGTGCATTATTTGTTGACAAAACCATCAGAGTGGACATAGCAGGTAAGATAATGTCTTCACGTACTGTGCTGCCTGTTCAAAATAGATGATTGTATATTTTTTCCTAAGATATTAGCGGTTCACATTCACTATGCAATGTTTTCATATATACCTTCTAAACATTGGGATAAATTGGGCTATGCTAGCAAAGAAAATAACAGAAATGGTAATTAACAGGCTCTTACTAGAGACTTATAATTTCCATTATAAAGAATTAAGTTTCAGATATATCTAATAGAAAAATGGATATTTCCCTTTCTATTCTGACACACTATTCAAGGTAGTGTCTTGTTGCTGATGAGAGGGTCTTGATCTAAGGAATTGGATCAAACCTGATTACTCCCTTTCTTCAGATACTGTTTCCTATGAGTTTAGTACTTCTAAAAAAATATGACAACAATAATCTGATACTGGTATGTGAACAACAAATGTGACAGCCAGCAATGCACATTTATTAATGAAAGAAAAAATGTTAATGAATTTATAGTTTTGTTCATAAAGTGGGTGGTGCATTGAGGCATGTGTGGAGACAAAGGATGTTACTTATGGAGGCAAAGAAGAGAATGTTTAGAGTATTATAGTGGTACTGACACACTACATGGGTGTGAAGCATGGGTTGTGAAAGTTGCAGTGAGGAGGAAGCTGGAGGCAGTGGAGATGTATCTAAAGGCAATGTATCGCATGAATATTATGCAGAAAATTCTTAGTGTGGAAGTTAAGAGGTTTGGAGTTACTAAAATTATTCAAGAGGGCTAAGAAGGGCTGCTGTGGTGGTTTAATCATTTAAAGATGATGGAGCAAAATAGGATGAATTTAAGGGTGTATAGATCATTAGTGGAGGGAAGGCAGGGTTGGGGTCATCCTAGGAGAGGTTGGGGGGGTAAAGGAGGTTATATGTGCAAGAGGCTTGGAGTGAGTGGAAACAAATGGTTTTTGGGACATGACGAGCTGTTGGAATGTGAGCAGAGTAATAATTTGTGAAGGGATTCAGGGAAACCCATTAGCCGGACTTGAGTTCTGGAGATGAGAAATACAGTGCCTGCACTCTTAATGAGGGGTTTGGGATCTTTGCTGTTTAGAGTGACATCTAAACTTGTATCTGTGTGCCTCTGGGAAGACAGTGATGGTGAATTTGTTTCTTTTTCGGGTCACCCTGCCTCGTTGGGAAACAGCCAGCATGTTAAAAAAAAGTACTTTTCATTCATGATATATTTTAAAACGGGCCACCAAATTTGAGTTTGTTTCCAAAAATCAAAACTAATACCATATTGATTGGTATAGGGTATATTTTTTTTTTTCAATGACCCAGCTGTATCCTATTGAGGCAGGGTAACCTTAAAAAAAAAAAAAAAAAAAATTTCTCTTTAAGTTTAGTAATGTATACAGGATAAGGGGTCACAAGCTCCTTGCTCTTGACAGTTTAGTTGCCTCTTAAGACATGCATGGCTTATAATGGAAGAATTCTGTTCCACTTCCCCATGGAGAGGTATATTTTTAATGTAGCATTATATAATTCATCTTTGAGATACTTAATGTTTGTATGGAAGGCGTCTGTCTCCTACTTCAGTGATAGGTAGGCAATGGTATAATTAGCGCTTAAGCTAGAGCCATTTGCTTAGCATATTTTTTTATCTTCGTAAAAAATCCCAAACTCGAGCACCCGTCCATATGACTACCTCAAGAGCACCTACCCGAACACATTATTCTTAGCTCCAATCAACCCAACAGAAGTCTCGCACATCAACACCCTTAAAAACAAGGCAGGAGACATAAACAACTTGCCAACTTTTATGTACAAAAAACTTTTCAAGATTTTTTTTTTCAACAAACCGGCCGTATCCCACCAAGGCAGGGTGGCCCAAAAAGAAAAACGAAAGTTTCTCTTTTTAAATTTAGTAATTTATACAAGAAAAAGGGTTACTAGCCCCTTACCTCCGGCATTTTAGTCGCCTCTTACAACATACATGGCTTACGGAGGAAGAATTCTGTTCCACTTCCCCATGGAAATAAGAGGAAATAAACAAGAACAAGAACTAGAAAGAAAACGGCATAAAACCCAGAGGGGTGTGTATATATATGCTTGTACATGTATGTGTAGTGTTACCTAAGTGTAAGTAGAAGTAGCAAGACGTACCTGAAATCTTGCATGTTAATGAGACAGAAAAAAGACAATAGCAATCCTACCATCATGTAAAACATTTACTACAGGTTTCCGTTTTACACTCACTTGGCAGGACGGTAGTACCTCCCTGAGCGGTTGCTGTCTACCAACCTAATACCTACAAGCTTCTCAAGTATTGTTACCATTTATTGCAACTCTCTTGAACAAAACCATTGAATCCTCCACCTTCCCAACAATTCTCAAAATAGCGAGGGTCACTCCGATACACAAAGATGATGATCAAGCAGACTTGAATAACTATAGACCAATATCTAACTTACCACTCCTCTCTAAAATCTTTGAAAAATTAATATATAGATGGATCTTTTCCTACCTCGTCTCGCATAACATACTAAACCCCTGTCAGTTTGGATTCAGGAATAATAAAAGCACAAATGATGCTATCACACACATGCTAGAACTAATATATACCACTCTCGAAAAGAAAGAAGTCCCGCTGGGAATTTTCATGGATTTACATAAAGCTTTTGATACAGTCGACCACGAACTGCTGTACTCTAAATTAACACACTGTGGTATAAGAGGCCACTCCCTCAACTACCTAAAGTCATACCTTAGCAACAGAAGCCAATGTGTGTACACAAATGGTGCAAACTCTTCCACACAACCAATCACAGTCGGAGTCCCTCAGGGAAGTGTCCTTGGACCACGCCTCTTTCTCATCTTCATCAGTGACCTACCGAATGCATCACAGCTTCTCAAACCTGTATTATTTGTAGATGACACTACATACGTCTTCTCTCACCCAAACCCACTCATACTCACCAACACAGTCAATGCTGAATTGCAGAAAATATCTGCCTGGATGATGACTAATAAACTTGCACTGAATACTGACAAAACCTACTTCATTCAGTTTGGAAACAAAACTGCAAATGCTCCACTTAACATAACGTTAAACGGATCACCCGTAACAAGACTCGCGGAGGGAAAATTCCTAGGAATCCACCTTGACAGTCGCCTCAAGTTCCAGACACATATACAACAAATAACCAAGAAAATTTCTAAGGTTGTAGGCATACTGTCAAAGATACGATACTATGCTCCACAATCAGCTCTCCTTGCACTGTATCATTCACTCATCTACTCTTATCTCACATATGGAATTTGTGTATGGGGATCAACAACATTAAATCACCTAAGACCACTAATAACCAGCAAAAGGCAACAGTCAGAATGATAACACATTCCCACTCCTGATAGCATACTCCACCAATGTTCAGAAGTCTAAATCTGCTCACCATTAAGAAGATCCATACTTATTCATGTGCCTACTACATACATAGAACAATACACGCCGACATAAACCCTCCACTCAAACTTTTCCTCGCCAATCTAAACAGGACACACGACCATAACACAAGACACAGATCTCTTTTTGATGTACCCCATGTCCATATCACACTGTGTAAAAGCTCTATGCACATAAAGGGCCCCAATATTTGGAATTTATTATCAGAAAATACCAAAGTAACCCGGTCTGAAAATCAATTTAAGACTTATCAAAAGCCACTTGATCACCCTAGACTAAATACTCAATACTCAGTATTTAACACTACCAATAAATCTACCAATTGCCTAAATCTTAAAACTTCATAATTAGACAACCAAGCTCATATATTGACAAATTACCACATAGAAGTATACATACCTACCAAAACTAGTATTACCCTTCACCAAATTGTAGCAGTCTCATACTGTAAACTACTACTGAATCATGTTTCATAAAAAGCATTTTTGAATACATGAATACTATATCTTTTGTTTTGTATAAATTAGGTTCACTTATTAATAGAACTATTGTACAACTATGATAATTTCTTTAGTGATAAGTAGTCAGTATGCCATTAAATTACCTCAGCCCATGATGCCAAGGCATAATAGAGGCTCTCTTTGCACTGCAGCCCATCATTTTAAAAATATAATCTTAATGTACTACTTGCAAAGAAATAAATGAATTTGAATTTGTTATACTGTACTTTCATTTCAACACATTACTTTTCACTTTGAGTACAGTAACAATTGTCATTGGTATAATGATTAATGTAATGCTAAGAGAACAATAACTAGCAGATGAATAATGTAATGCTCAATACCTTAAATTTGTGAATGAGTTTGCTAACTTTAATGCTGTATTCTTGAAGAGTCACGGCGTGGTGAGAGAGGAGGAGGATTTGATCGTGGCCGTGGCAGGGGGCGAGCTGGTGGAAGAGGTGGTGGGGACATGAATGATTTTCGAGGAAGACGAGATGCTGCGGATGACTTTGGTAAATATGATTTTGTTGATGACAGTAATTGTGATGTAATGTGAATTATTGAAATTTCATACATTCAGCTGGTCCTCTCCCTACAGTACTAATGCTTTCCTGAAATTTTTCACAAATTGATTGCTCTAAACTTGAAATCTCTTTTCTCACAGACATCCATAATTGGAGATGTGCTTCTGAGCTATAACATTCTATTGCTATTTTCGTTATTTTTTTTAACATGTACCATTTTCCTCTCCTTTTCCTTTCTCTCCCTCTGTTGCATTAGTTATGAATGCTTAACCTTTTTACTGGATCTCATGTACTAGTACACAGATGATGTCAGTGAGTTAAACATACTAGAATGCACAATTTTTCATGCCTTCATATACACCACTTGCCAATTTTTTGACCTCAACACAACTTTTTTGGGTCCTCTACAACCTCTTCATGCCTGTGAAAAACCTAAGGCAAGGCAGATCCTCACAGTGAATCATGGTTAACCCTTTCAGGGTTTCTGACTTACTAGTACGGCTTACGCACCAGGGTTTTTGACGTACTAGTACGCCTAAATTCTAGCGCCCTCAGATTTAGTGAGAGAAAGCTGGTAGGCCTACATATGAAAGAATGGGTCTGTGTGGTCAGCATGCACAATATGAAAAAAATCCTACAGCACACAGTGCATAATGAGAAAAAAAAAACTTTGACAGTGTTTTTGGTTTAAAACAGTGACTTTTTACTGTATTTTCGTATGGTATTTATGATGGTATTCTAGTTTTCCTTGTCTCATTTTATAGAATGGAAGACATATTACAGAAATTGAGACGATTTTGATTGGTTTTACAATGAAAAGTACCTTGAAATTGAGCTCAAAGTAGCAGAAATCTTTGATTTTTGCGAAAGTTCAAAAGTAAACAAATCATGCTAAGCGTCCAATACACGTCAACTGGTGAGTCTAATATTTTTTCACAATTGAGCTGATATTATTTATACTATTTCTACACTAATGCAGTAGTCTGCATAACAGTAAATCTTCTATTTTTTGTGAGAATAAAAATTCAAAGTGGAAAGCAAAAGAATGTAAGAGGGGCGTGGGGACGTGAATAATGAACAGAAGAAATGTTATTTTAGTGCCAGGAATGTCTTGTTTATTCTGGACCCTATTTGGAAATTGGCATCTTTTGAAATTTGTATGAAATTGGCAAAATTGCTAAATTCTGACCACTTAATTGAATAGTTGAAATCGGTAAATGGGTGGTTTCTTGTACTCATTCGATAGAAAAAAATGGAGTTCTAGCGAAATAGTTATGATTTTTGTTGACTAGTACACTGGAATTGGCCGAAAATAGGGCTCAAGGTGGGCAAAATCGCCGATGCATAAACATTGTCGAGACCGCTGACTTTGCGAGAGCATAATTCTGTAAGTTTTCCATCAAATTTCATACTTTTGGTGTCATTTTCTTATGAAAAGATTCTCTATCTTTCCATAAGATATTTTTTTTTTTTTAAATTTGTCGACCCTGAGAACAAGTCTGGGAGAGGTCCTGTCGACCCTGAAAGGGTTAATTGCACAAGTTATGATTGTCAGACATTGTAGTACTTGCAATATTTTTTGTCTTCGGATGTGCCACCACCAGCCAGTATTTTTGACCTCAGTACAACTCTTGGTCTTCTGCAACTTCATGTCTTTGAAGAAAAATTTGAGGCCAGGCAAATCCACATAGTGCATCATGGTTAACACTGCTTAACTAAGTAAACAGTGAAACTAGGATATAGGAAAGCATTGGTTTGGTAGAGCTGTGAATAAGTGGCACAAACTACTGAGTAGCATCATTAAAGTGAAAACCTTGAGTATCTTTAAAAATAGGTTAGACAAGTACATAAGGGGTGTGAGTTGGACTTGCATAGCATGGGCAAGTAGGTCTGCTGCCATTTGCCTTCCTACTTAATGTTCTTAATACAGAAGAGTACAATACAGTAATTTTTCTTACCTTTTCTGATGGATAGATGAGCTTACAGATGTACAGTACAGTACAGTATTCTTATGTGGTCTAGTGGGGACCCAGAATAATTTATTCTGAGTCAGTGGAGCTGTGAAGCTCCAGCAGTAACATTGTAGATGGTGTGGGACACAGACAGGTAGATGGTGTAGGAGATTTAGATGGTTCAGCAGATGTAAATGGCTGAAGAGATGGCTCAGCTTACTGGTAGATGGTTTGGGAGATGTAGAATGAGGAACAGGTTTAAAGAATGAATCCAGCTTAATTTGTTTGGTGCACTGATTCTCAACAGAACGAATATTAACACCAGCAGCACACTGTTGAGCATACCATTTATGGAGCGCTGCTTCAACCATTTTCTTACACTTCCTTAGAGTAACTAAAAAAAACCTTTTAGGCTGTTATGTACTCTTATTTCATAGCATATTGTGTAAGCCATACTACTCATATACCTGGGTGCCACTGAAGTGCCAACCTCCAGCTTCCTTATTAATTCAAGTATCTGTTAAGCTGCTTAACAGTTACGGTTACATGCTAATAACACTGTATAAGGTACTTTAATAAAATTATTAAAAGCACAGTAAATCCCAGGGAAAATTGTCTAGCCCTGCTTCCCAGGAACAATGAAAGTGGACGTATCTAGGATAAACTTTGAATAATGCAAACTTGTGATTAAGGAGTTCCATTTTATCGAATGCACGCCTGGATCTGATAGCTGTTTAAAATAGTGGATTTGGTCCACTTTGTAGCCATTTTAACCCTTTGACTGTTTCGGTCGTACAAGTATGTATACGTCTTACGAGTCAATGTGTTTGACATACATATACTTAAAAATTCTAGCGGCTTCAAATCAAGTGGGAGAAAGCTGGTTGCCCCACATGTGAGAGAATGGGTCTGTGTGGTCAATGTACACAGTATAAAAAAAATCCTGCAGCACGCAGTGCATAATGAGAAAAAAAAACTCCAACCGTGTTTTTGGATTAAAATGCCGACTTTGAGGTTTATTTTTGTTTAATATTTACCGTTGTATTCTCATTTTATTGGTCTCATTTGATGGAATGGAAGACATTATAGAAATAGAGACGATTTTGATTGGTTTCACTATGAAAAGGACCTTGAAGTGTTACTCAAAGTTGCAGAAATGTTCGATTTTTGCTGATGTTCAAGAGTAAACAAATGACATTGTTGTCCAATAAATGTCTAACTAGCCATTCTAATATGCAATCACGAATGGGTTGGCATTATTTATACAATTATTACAATACTGCAGTAGTCTGCATATTAGTAAATCTTCTATTTTTTGTGTGAATAAAAATTCAAAATAGAAACTGGACCCTATTTTGAAATTGGTATATTTTTTAATTTGCATGAAATTGGCCAAATTGCCAATTTCTGAGCACTATTGGGTAGTTGAAATTGGTAAATGGGTGGTTTCTTGTACTCAGTCGATAGAACAAATAGAGTTCTAAAGAAATAGCTATGAGTTTGGTCGGCTGGAACAATGGAATTAGCCAAAAATAGGGCTCAAAGTGGATGTAATTGCCGATTCGTAAATATCGCCGAGATCGCTAACTTTGCGAGAGCATAATTCCGTAAGTTTTCCATCAAATTTTGTACTGTTGGTGTTATTAGCATCGAGAAAAGATTCATTGTCATTTCATAAGAGAAAATAATTTTTTTTTTTTCATATTTGTGATACTGGGAGACACTAGGATTGGGGGTTGTCTGGCCAGATTTTTTGCCTGTTTTAATCAACATCTGTTTTATAGGGGTCTGTTTTATTGGACCTTAACTGTGCATCTGAAATGATATTTTTTTATTTAAATAAAGAGGTACTACCTCTATAACTGGACTGGGGACGCTCATCCTCAGAGAAGACAATAAACGTACCTCAGGGAAAACTCAAGGTTCTCCCCCACATTTAAGTCATATCACATCCAGATATAGTAACATTTGATGAATATTTTAATTGTTAAAATTCACCCTGAAATAATTTTTCTTAGCCTAATTAATCAGTTATAAGTCTTTTGACAAGTGTCGTCCATATGAACTAACCCTTTAACTCTGGCATACCCAGAAATAAAATTTCCTGTGTTTGGGGCAGAATTTTGAAAAAAAAAAAAAAAAAAAATCTTACATTTTGAAAGACTTTTCTAAACTAGTCTGAAACAAAATGGAGGAAAATTGGATGAAAGCTTAAGATTTTAGTGTGTTAAAGCTGGCAAAAAATGATCACTCATTGGCAAGAACGGCATAAATGCTTTTGTGATTTTTTTTTTTTTTTAACAAGCCGTCCATCTCCCACCGAGGCAGGGTGATCCAAAAAGAAAGAAAATCCCCAAAAAGAAAAAACTTTCATCATTCAACACCTTCACCTCACTCACACACAATCACTGTTTTTGCAGAGGTGCTCAGAATACGACAGTTTAGAAGTAAATACGTTTAAAAATACACAACATATCCCTCCAAACTGCCAATATCCCAAACCCCTCCTTTAAAGTGCAGGCATTGTGTTTCCCATTTCCAGGACTCGAGTCCAGCTATATAAAAATAACAGGTTTCCCTGAATCCCTTGACTAAATATTACCCTGCTCACACTCCAACAGCTCGTCAGGTCCCAAATACCATTCGTCTCCATTCACTCCTATCTAACACGCTTGTGCACGCTTGCTGGAAGTCCAAGCCCCTTGCCCACTAAAACCTCCTTTACCCCCTCCCTCCAATCTTTACGAGGACAACCGCTACCCCGCCTTCCTTTCCCTACAGATTTATAGGCTCTCCCTGTCATTCTACTTTGATCCATTCTCTTCAGATGACCAAACCACCTCAGCAACCCCTCTTCAGTCCTCTAATACTTTTATTAACTCCACACCTTCTCCTAATTTCCACACTCCGAATTTTCTGCATAATATTTACACCACACATTGCCCTTAGACAGGACATCTCCACTGCCTCCAACCGTCTCCTTGCTGCAGCATTTACAACCCAAGCTTCACACCCCTATAAGAGTGTTGGTACCACTATACTTTCATACATTCTCTTCTTTGCCTCCATACATAACGTTTTTTGTCTCCACATATACCTCAACGCACCACTCACCTTTTTTTCTTCATCAATTCTGTGGTTAACCTCATCCTTCATAAATCCATCCGCTGACATGTCAACTCCCAAATATCTGAAAACATTCACTTCTTCCATACTCCTCCTCTCCAATTTAATATCCAATTTCTCTTTATCTAAATCATTTGATAGCCTCATCACCTTACTCTTTTCCATGTTCACTTTCAGTGATGTTTACATTTTACAGTTTGGTGCTAAATTATGATAGCTTTGCATTTTCTTTTGCTGTTGATAATGTCTAGCTCTGTGTAAGCTAGTTTATGATATTAGATGTACTTCAAAGTGTTTTAGTACTTTAAACATGATGAAATACATAGTCCAACATTCCTTCACTCGAAATACAGTATGCAGTATAAATTACTGCAAAATTTTTATTTTCCTCTTGTATTACCACTTTGGTCTAGTAACACTTTATACAAGGAATACTTCTGAAATCTTGCATGTTTATGGGACAGACAAAAGACACCAGCAATCCTACCATCATGTAAAACAATTACAGGTTTTCATTGTACACTCACTTGGCAGGATGGTAGTACCTCCCTGGGCGGTTGCTGTTTACCAACCTACTACCTAGGACCAGCAGTCCTACCATCATGTAAAACAATTACAGGCTTCCGTTTTACACTCGCTTGGCAGGATGGTAGTTTTTAGATGTTTAAGAAGGCCTACGACTCAGTAAATCATTATTCTGTACGAAGGGCATTACAAGTACATAATGCGCCCCATTGGTGATCAACTATATTATGTCTACTTATGTTGATGCAACAACGGATGTATTGGGGAGAGAGGGGAGAGTGGGTAGAGGGGTAAAACAAGGGGACCCCCTCTCATGTATTCTCTTCAATATAGTAATGAATGAAGCCCTTTTGACCTTAAATGAGCAGATTGGATGGCCAATAGCTGAGGCTGAGTCAAAAGTGTCCACCTTGGCTTCTGCTGATGATGTGGTGTTGGTAGCTGAGTCCGAGCAAGGCCTCAGTGCACAGTTACAGCTTTTTCTGAGGCAGTTGGAAGTGTTAGAGCTGGAGATAAATCCACAGAAGTGTGCCACTTTAAAACTAAGAATGGTACCGAGAACAAAGAAATGGTATGTGGATACAATGCATAAGACAGAATTATATGGTGCTCAGGTGCAAACCCTGCAACCAACAGCAGCGTATAAGTACCTGGGAATGCACTTTTCTTCAGCTGGTTGGAAAAGGCCGAATATCCAAAAGGCAGTCTGTGTTAAAAGATGTGTGTATTAATGATTTCTTGTTTAGGTTGCTAGTTCTGTATGTGAACTTCCCATAATTTATATTTGTAATGTAGCTTATATGTCTTTAAATCAGGTCGTTATAGAAGGGATGATGACCGAGGTGGAAGAGGTGGGCGAGCAGGCTTTGTTGGTGGCACAGGTGGTAGATATGGTGGATTTGATGAGCGAGGAGGATCTGACCGAGGTGGAGGTGAGCGAGGAAGCTTTGCTGGGAGAAGTCGTGGTGGACCACCTGGATCACTTAGTGGGGACCGTGGTGGACGAGGTGAAGGTTATATGAGACGGGACCGTAGAGATAGTGATCGGTCTCGTAACTTTGATGATTTCAAAGAACCAGATCCAGGTAAGTTACTTATATTGTTTTCCTAGATTTTTCACTGTTCACGTATGCACATACAGTTTCCTAGCTCAGTCTCTGATTATCTCTGTCATGGAGGATGAGAGGCTGTTTACATCACTTAATCACTTGATTAGTGGGTGGTGGGCTCACCACTTACCCTCGCCCAAAATCTTTTCTATACGTATATGCATAGTAGATTGGAATGTTTTTCATTGTTTAGTGCAATGCAGCTATGTTAAAACTGGTAAAATGAGCTCGCAGTACCAGCATGCATTTCAGTGAATTATTTAAGTAAATGTTAAATAAATTTAACAAATGAGTGTAAAGCTTTCACTTTTGCATTATGTTAATATGATGATACTGGTTTCTTGCAGCTAGTCCTTGTATTTGGGTAGTCTTGGTATTTATATTAGGCAAAAAGTATTTAGGTAGCATTGATTGCCAATGGCTACAACATTTAAAGAATAAAATTAATTTAAAAGATTCCTCAACTAATCCTCTTTATGTAGTACAGCCTCTCCTCACTTAACGATGGAGTTCCATTCCTAAGACCATGTCAGTAAACGAATTCGTCGCTAAGTGAGGAGCATACTATAATGGTAGTGAGTTTGTGTCATCCATTTCTGATATTGTTTTAATATCACCTTTGTACCATTTATAACATTTCTGGTATATTTTTAAATGTTTATACAGTAATGTGCTGTATACTGTAATAATCAGAATAGAGAAAATCAGCTCTAATATACATTGTTTAGGTATGAACACTGGTTAGAGAGCCTGTCATAAGTCCGAGTTGTTGGTAAACGAGTACGTCGCTAACTGAGAAGAGGCTGTAACTCATTTGAAGAAAATTAGAAATATCAGTACTATGGCTGGAACAATTCACAATCTGCAAATTGCAGATAAATCATAAAATACCACTTTGGTCTGTACTACACCATTATCAAGTCACAGTAATAGCCAGATATATTATCTAAAGATTTATCCAATTTGTGAGCTGTGAATAACAACATTTTTTGTAGCTAAAGGAAGAAAGTTATGTTTATGGTTTTATCTTTGACGACCTACTTTTTTTTTACACCAATTCCGTTCTTCTAAGCATTTGGGAAGAACAACTTTCTTGTATTATTTTGGCACCAACTCTTTTTCAGTTTTAACTATGGCCTCTTGTTATCTTCGCTAATGTTAAGAAATCTTCCTTATCTATTCTTTCTCATTTTTTCTTTTTAATCTTATGTGGTTATGTGAACGCTCAAGTCTGGCTATATAAAAATAACCGGTTTCCCTGAATCCTTTCACTAAATATTACCCTGCTCACACTCCAACAGATCGTCAGGTCCCAAATACCATTCGTCTCCATTCACTCCTATCGAACACGTTCACGCGCGCCTGCTCGAAGTCCAAGCCCCTCGCTCACAAAACCTCCCTTACCCCTTCCTTCCAACCTTTTCGAGGATGACCCCTACCCCGCCTTCCTTCCCCTACAGATTTAAATGCTCTCCATGTCATTCTAATTTGATCCATTCTCTCTAAATGACCAAACCACCTCAACAGCCCCTCTTCAGCCCTCTGACTAATACTTTTATTAACTTCACACCTTCTCATAGTTTCCACACTCCGAATTTTCTGCATAATATTTACACCACACATTGCCCTTAGACAGGACATCTCCACTGATTCCAACCGCCTCCTCGCTGCTGCATTCACAGCCCAAGCTTCACACCCATATAAGAGAGTTGGTACTACTATACTTTCATACATTCCCTTCTTTGCCTCCATAGATAATGTTTTTTGTCTCCACATATACATCAACGCACCACTCACCTTTTTTCCCTCATCAATTCTATGATTAGCCTCATCCTTCATAAATCCTTCCGCCGACACGTCAACTCCCAAGTATCTGAAAACATTCACTTCTTCCATACTCCTCCTCCCCAATTTGATATCCAATTTTTCTTTATCTAAATCATTTGATACCCTCATCACCTTACTCTTTTCTATGTTCCTTTTCAACTTTCTACCTTTACACACACTCCCAAACTCGTCCACTAACCTTTGCAATTTTTCTTTAGAATCTCCCATAAGCACAGTATCATCAGCAAAAAGCAACTGTGTCAATTCCCATTTTGTATTTGATTCCCCATAATTTAATCCCACCCCTCTCCCGAACACCCTAGCATTTACTTCTTTTACAACCCCACCTATAAATATATTAAACCATCATGGTGACATTACACATCCGTCTAAGACCTACTTTTACCGGGAAGTAGTCTCCCTCTCTTCTACACACCCTAACCTGAGCCTGACTATCCTCATAAAAACTCTTTACAGCATTTAGTAACTTACCACCTATTCCATATACTTGCTACATCTGCCACATTGCTCCCCTATCCACTCTATCATATGCCTTTTCTAAATCTGTAAATGCAATAAAAAACTTCCCTACCTTTATCTAAATACTGTTCACATATATGCTTCAATGTAAGCACTTGATCTACACATCCCCTACCCACTCTAAAACTTCCTTGCTCATCCACAATCCTACATTCTGTCTTGCCTCTTATTCTTTCAATTATAACCCTACCGTACACTTCTCCTGGTATACTCAGTAAACTTATTCCTTTATAATTTTTACAATATATTTTGTCCTCCTTCTCTTTATATAAAGGGACTATACATGCTCTCTGCCAATCTCTAGGTACCTTCCCCTCTTTCATACATTTATTAAACAAAAATACCAACCACTCCAACACTATATCCCCCCCGGCTTTTAACATTTCTGTCATGATCCCGTCAGTTCCAGCTGCTTTACCCCCTTTCATTCTAGTAATGCCTCATGCACCTCCCCCACACTCACATTCTATTCTTCTTCACTCCTAAAAGATGGTATACCTCCCTGTCCAGTGCATGAAATTACCGCCTGCCTTTCTTCGTCGACATTTAAAAGTTCCTCAAAATATTCTCGCCATCTACCCAAAACCTCCCTCTCCCCATCTACTAACTCCCCTACTCTGTTTTAAACTGAGAAATTCATTTGTTCCCTAGGCTTTCTTATCATGTTTAACTCCAAAAATTTTCCCTATTTTCATTAAAATTTCTCGACAGTGCCTCTCCCACTCTATCATCTGCTCTCCTTTTGTACTCTCTCACCACTCTCTTCACCTTTCTTTTACTCTCCATATACTCTACTCTTCTTATAACACTTCTGCTTTGTAAAAACCTCTCATAAGCTAACTTTTTCTCTTATCACAACCTTTACTTCATCATTCCATCAATCACTCCTCTTTCCTCCTCCACCCACCCTCCTATAATCACAAACTTCTGCCCCACATTCTAATACTGCATTTTTAAAACTATTCCAACCCTCTTCAACCCCCCCCCCCCCCACTGCTCATATTTGCACCAGTCCACCTTTCTGCCAATAGTTGCTTATATCTCACCCGAACTTCCTCCTCCCTTAGTTTATACACACTCACCTCCCTCTTACTTGTTGCCATTTTCCTCTTTTCCCATCTTCCTCTTACTCTAACTGTAGCTACAACTAAATAATTATCCGATATGTCAGTTGCCCCTCTATAAACGTGGAGGTAAAGAGGAAAATGTATGAGAGTATAGTGGTTCCAGCACTTATATGGGTGTGAAGTATGGGTCGTGAATGTTGCAATGAGGAGGAGGAGGAGGTTGGAAGCACTGTCGATGTGTCTGAGGGCACTGTGTGATGTAAATATTATGCAGAGAATTTGTAGTTTGGAGATTAGGAGTAGGTGTGGAGTTACTAAAAGTATTATCCAGAGGGCTGAGGAGGGGTTGTTGGGGTGATTTGGTCATCTAGAGAGGATAAAGCAAAATAGGATGACTTGGAGGGTGTATCAATCTGTAGTGGAGGGAAGGCAGGGTTTGTTCTAGGAAAGGAAGGAGGAGCTAAAGGCATTTTTATATGCAAGAGGCTTGGACATCCAGTAGGCACATGTGAGCACGTTAAGGTAGGAGTGAGTGAAGGCAAATGCTTTGAGCCTTGACGAGCTGTTAGAGTGTGAGCAGTGTAACATTTTGTGAAAGGATTCAGGGAAACCAGTTAACAGACTTAAGTCCTGGAGGAGGGAAGTACGCACAGTGCCTGTACTCAAGGAGGACTGGGGATACACCTACCATCCGACTTACGACCTGCTCGACTTACGACCACTTTTCTTACGACTGTGTTTTTTATGCCAAATTTCTGGGAAATAAACAACTATTTGTGTTGTATAAAGTGTTTATCCTAAACCTTACAGTATAAAATATAGTACTAACAGCATAAAAAGTAAAGTAAAACGTGAAATACCAAAATAAAACAATAAAATAAAGTCATTACAAAAATGTTTTGTTGATATTCAGTAGTAAAGTTCGACTTACGACCATTTCGACTTGCGACCGGTTTCTCGGAACCGAATCCGGTCATAAGTCGGATGGTTGGTGTATTTGCTGTTTGCAGGATCTGAGCTGTTGTATCCACTCACTTCTGGCAAGACAATGATGGAGTGAATGAAAAATAAAAGAAGTTGCTATGTTTGTTTTTCTTATCAGCAGACACCATACCACAACTGTATGTTCCAAGTTTGGTTTAACATGTCGTGAGCAGCTTTTTTTAACATTTCTCTATCCTGATGCCGAAAGGCTTGTGGTCATCTCCCACCGAGGTAGGGTCCCTCCCCCCCCAATCACTGTCATTCTTCATCATCATCTTGCCAGAGGTGCCAACACCATAGCTCAGATGCCCCTTCAAACTGCAATATTCCCATGCCTCTAGTGCAGGCACTGTGCTTCCCATCTCCAAGACTCAAGTCTGGCTATTGTGTTTTTGTTTTTTGTTTTGTTTTGTTTTTAACACAGGCCATCTCCCTCCAAGGTAGGGTTGCCAACCCCCTGCCCCTCAAAAGAAAAAAAACTGGAAACACATTTGCCATACATTCATTCAATTGCTGAATTTTGTTGTTTTTGTTACTCCTTCCTCAGTGGGAAAGGGT